CAAATTATTCAGAACCGATGGGATAGTCAATTGCGTAAGAATCTTCATGCTGCTGGATATTGGTTAAATCCTTCTTTTCAATATGATAATCTTGATATGGAAAATCATAAACAAACTATTTCGGGACTTTTAGATGTAATTGAGAGATACGCTTACGATCAACCCGATTTAAGAAGTAAATTGACGGGTGAAATGAGACTATTTAGGCAAGCACAAGGTGATTTTGGACGTTTATCTGCTGTAGCTGATCGCCATAAAATGGCTCCTGGTAAAATTTTATCCTCATATTATGTACTTTGTTATATTATATAACTCAAATTTTTAGTTTATATAACGTACATCTATTTTATTTTTATTTTTTTAATACAGATGAATGGTGGATGTGTTATGGTAGTAGTGCACCAAACCTACAAACGCTTGCAATTCGAGTATTAAGTCAAACATGTAGTTCTTCAGGATGCGAGAGAAATTGGAGTATGTTTTGCTACCAGTTCACATTTTCAAAGAATAACGTTGTAAATTGTCAAGAGCTTCACTTCGTTCTATTTCCTTCTTGTGATAACTATGCTTGGAATATTAATCTCTATGGTAATTATTTAATGGATGAGCAAGAACATGTTGTATGAATCTGCCAGAGTTAGATTCATTTCCATTTTTCTCTTGCCTTTTTCTTTTGATGGAGTTGGAGTTCATGAGTGTGATGTTATGTACTGTGATGTTATAACTTTTATGTTAATTTTCGTGATGTTTTAATTTGAAGCGAGGTCCCAGTGAGAATGAGTTCCTATAATTCTATTTCATTATGAGCAGTAAGTAGATGTATTGCTGGTTGTAGTTTGAGCTTTCATTAATTTATTATGCTTCTTGTTGAGTTACATGACATGACATTTATCCAATAGTTGCATTACTTCTTAGATGTATTGTAGAGGTATTTGGAGATCAAATTAGAACAAAACAAACTTTTAACTTGAAATTAATAATCTTTTCTGATTTTAGTCTAATAATTCCTTAATACATATACATAGAAAAGTCTTAGATGTATTGATGTCTGTTGAGATTGATGTCGTATGTCAAGTCTTATGAAATTGCCTCAACTTCATGTACATTTCCTTGATATTAATAAGCAATTGCTTAAGTAGTCTATGTTCATTAATTTTCCAATGGTGAACAAGCATGATGTATAGTTTTTTTCCCTTTGTATAGTTCATTGGTGATAATAGTACACCGCATAGTTCATCTCCACTAAAGAATTGTGCGAGAGGAAAAATAGATATTGCATGGGGTCATTGTAAAGAGATATTAGAAGCTAGTAATAATAGAAATATAAACAAAAAAAAAACTCGTTTGCTTGTATTGTGGAAAGACTTTCGCCGGAGGTGGTATCAATCGAGTCAAACAACACTTAGCGGGAATGAAAGGTGACGTTGATTCATGTCGTAAAGTACCTCCGGATGTTAGATTCAAAATGAAAGAAAACTTGGACGTCTTTGCTGCAAAGAAGCGTAAAACTCAAGAAATTCTTGATGAGTGTAACCCACATAGTTCTTACTATCGGGAAAAAGAAGAGCAAATGTATAGAGATTTGGGTGATGATGATGTTCAAGAAATCTTCCCTCCTAATTCTAAAGGAAAGGGTACAGTTGTTGG